GCAGTTAGAGCATCGGCCCTCGGACTGAAGAGTGGTGGACCCAATTCCAGTTGGGTACAGTTAATCCAGTCAATGTGTCTCTCTCGCTCTGTCTTCCTCCCCGCCACTCTACCTGAAGGTAAATGGAAAAGTATCCTTGGGGAGGATTAAAAAAAAAAAATCCAGACAAGGGCACTAATAATCATTTATGAAGCAGTGTTATCTATGCACCACCTAGAATTTTTTTCCCATTGAGTTGAAAAACCATAAATACACACACACTAAAATTTACTTTTTCCATGAACTACTTACTTTTCCAGTTGGGATTCTTTAAAAATGTCTGTGCCTCTTATCTTTCCAATAGGCTTATTTTTCATGGTTCAAGGCAGCAGCCATAATGGTTAAGCACAATGCCTTTTAGAAACAGATTGCTTAAGTTTAAATACAGGCTCTGATCCTGGTCAGTTTATCCCACTCGTTAGAGCATCAGCCTGTGGACGGAAGAGTCTCAGGTCCAATTCCCCATCAAGCACACACACATTGGTTGCAGGTTCAATGGTCGGATGTCTCTCTCTCCCCTTTTCCCCCTCTCACTCTAAAAATCAATGAAAAATATCCTCTGGTGAAGATTAATAAATAAACAAACTCAGGCTCTGCTACCTACTAGCTGGATGAGTCTCTAAACTTATTTTCCTCAACTAAAAAATGAGGGGTAAAACAATATTTACCTCATAGGAATAATACATCTATAAATATAAAGCACTTTGAGCAATAGTCAGTACCTGGCACATCAGAGTTATCACTGTTTTTAAGTGTATACAATTTAACTATAAAATAGATATGCAATCTACTGAAGTCTGATTCAGAATTGTTTTATCTTTTTCTTTTTTAATCCTCACCCTAGGGCATTTTTCCATTTCTTGTTCAGATAGAGTGGGAGGAGAGAGAGAGAGAGAAACATCGACACGAAAGGGACACATCGAGTGGTTGCCACCCGCACGACCCAACCAGGGCTGGGGACAAACTACAACCGAGGTACGTGCCCTTAGCGGGAACCAAACCTGGGTCTCTCTGGACCACAGGCTGACGCTCTAACTGCTGAGCCAAACCAGCCAGGGCCAGATTGTTTTATCTTAAACTGAGCATTTAAAAATGAATTATAAGCAGAAATATGCCCCAGACCTCTTACTATTCCAAACTTATTAAAATGGTTGCATGTGCCCTCCTCAGCCAAGCTTTTAAACAGCCACTGATGGAGAAAACTAGTTGAAGTCATTCAAAATAAAAAAGGCTTCATAATATTTCCCTCCAAAATTTCAAGAGCTCTGATAACATACTACCTAGAATCAATTGAAAGAATATTTATATCAACATGTACAAACTGTTTGTGTACCCTGAAAAAAAAATTACATTAAGGTCTCACCTAAGTGTCCAGCAGGCAACGATGACAAAAATAACAAACTGACTTGTAACTTTTATAAAGCACTTTAAATGTTTTACTTTTCTTGTAAAACCACTAAAATAAGAACAACAAAAAATCCTAAAAGAATTGACAAAAACAAATGTTTGTGTTGAAAAGACTGTAGGAAGGTAAATTGAAACGGAATCCTGGGGGAAGATGACAGTTTATTTAACTATTAATTCCAAAGTTCTCATTCACATTAGCATTTTATTATTTTATCTTTTAGACAGATTATAACTTGAAACTCAAGCACCTTCCCCAAACACTGAAGTTAACCGTTTCTGGTTTCCATTCTCCTCCTTTTTGTTTTCAGTTAGACTTCTGGATCTTATAGTTAAAAAACAAACAAACAAACAAACAAAAAGAGAGGCTTTTGTTTAAAAGGGCACAACAATCAGACACTCCACAGCTAACGTTTGTTTTCACTTGTCTTACACTCCTCTAATAAATGTTCCAAACGTAACAGCACTGACTCCCTCTCAAGTATTACACATAAAAGGCCTTAGAAAAGGCCAACAGTCCACCCAATTACAAATATAAGTCTACTGAAGATTACCCATCACTTTATTTTTGGATGGGATTTACACAGGAACATGATTTCTGTTACTAAACTAAAACATAAACCACTCATGAATTCCGTTTTTTCCTAAGCAATAAATATCAAAGTTAAGAGCAAGTATTTCAACAAATATGACAAACCAACTCGGAGCACAAAACTGGCTGATAAAATTAACACCACAGCACAATCTCAGAATTATAAGCAATTACAAAAACAAAAACAAAACCAAGTAAACCCCGCACCCACTCTTATGCAAACTTTTGGAGTAAGCAAACTTCTTTAGCTTAACCTTTGTTTTCACTTACCAAGGACTCTTCAAGACAAGACATCAATTGCAAGAAAACCAAAAGATTCAGTTGTTGTCCCCGTAGGTGAAACAACTACAAATTTAGGACGATTTAACGTATTTCAAGTTACTGAAGCTCAGGGCACTTCCCCAAGCTACAGCCATTTTAGATTCAGCCTTTCTTTTGAATTTCACCGGGGTGGGGGTGGGGGTGGTTGAGAGGTAGATTTAAAACAGGAAAAAAAAAAAAAAATCCTCCTTATAATACTTCAAAAACTACCAGCTTTTTTTCTGGGATGGTGGTGGTGGGTGCTTGACAGAAAATCAAATTAACGAAAATACCTCTCGCTACCAAGGAGAACCAGAACGCTGGGGGTTAAAGGTTTTTTCCCCCTCATCTGACTTACACGATTATTTCCTCCTTAGATTTTCCTTCATTGGAAAAAAGCCCGTGGCTCTAATTTAAGAAGGAAAGAAAAAAGAAGCCCGTAAACCAAGTCACTCAACCGCCAAGCCGAAACGCCTGGAGAGGAGCCAGAGAGCCGCAGGTGAGCGTTCCGACCCGCAGACCAAAGTTGAAGTAGCAGCACTCCGGCAGAGGCGCGGCGACGCTCGAGCTCAAGAAGCCACGCGCGGGGGGAGGTGCCCTGTGCGAACCACAGGACCCGCAGGCTCCGCTCTCCTTCCTCGGGCCGACCTACACCCAACCACCTGTATGAGAGCCTCCTTCAACTTGATTCAACAGCCGGCCAGTCAGGCACCGGGCGGAGTCCCGCGCCAGAAAGACCCTAGATTTCCTATTACCCCGCTGTTCGAAACTCCCACTCACCGGGCAGCGGCCGGGCTACAGCTAGGGACCAGACGTGGTGGCTGAGGACACGTCCTCAGCTTCCTGATCCCGCAGAGGTGGAGAGCCCACAACCATAACAAAGCTCTTCCCAAAATGGCTGCCCGGCCCACACCGCCCAGGAGGGGCAGAGCGGGTGGAGGGGGAGGAGCGATGACCAGCCCAGCCCGCCCCCATTCAACACCGCCTTACACACGCCCACCCACTCCCACCGCCCACTGGGGACGCACGCGCACGCGCCCTGTTCGGATGACCCTGCCGGCGCCCCACGCCGCCAACGTTCGGGCGCGTGAACGACGGTTATTCCCTGCCCCACCCCCCAGCTCCCTTCGCCTCGGCTAGAGGCGGCGGCCAGCCCAGTTTGGTACTCTTCTTATCCCCCTGCCCAACACTACGGCCTAGACGCGTGTCCATGAGTGGGGTGGTGTGTATATGTGTACCCGGTTTTCCCTGCCCCTTCGTTCTTTACCTTCCCACACCTCACCTCTGAGCAAGCACCCATCCCCAAATTACCTCTACGAGTACTAGCAAACCGGTTTCGTATGAGCATGCGTTTTCCGACCCTTTCCTACCTTCCGCTCCTTCACGTGCGCGTGTCGTTAAGACTCCAGCCACCAGTGGGCCACACGACCGGGCTCTGGAGACGAGCGCTGCTGGGCGCGACGCGCTACCCGCTGGGAGAGGTAGTTCCACCCGGAGGCTGGCGTCACGCCCCCGACCAGCACAGTGTGGATTTCTGGCCTCTGCCTGGCGGAGAAGCTTTTCTCCTACCCAAAGTCTCATTGGGTATTGCACGACGGGAAGGGGCGGTGCTGCCATTACAGACAAAGAAGGAAATAAAAGTGAAAGCCTAGCGCGATCAGAATTTTCTGTGAGCCCATCCTGCACTGGAAGCCATTCCACTTGATATCCCGCAACCAGGAAGCTAGGCTACCTAGAATACGGAGGGATGGAGGAACTGGCCAGCGTGGGTCCCTTGAGCTGTCCTCTTGTCTTAATAAGGCTACCCACTCAAATTGCTTGGTACTATTCCTCTTTAATAGACTGTAAAATGGAGACTCAGAGAAGGGAACCGACTTGCCCAAGGTCACATGGCCGACAAAAGTTAAAGCTAAGGGTGAGGGGAGGATCTAACTTTGTGAATCACCTTCAAAACTCTTACCATACCTTTCATAGGCGTGAAGATCTTGTCCCTTGCGTTTTGTTTTTTTCAAATCGTTAACAGTGTTATGTCCTCCATTCCTCTCCCCGTTGTCCCCCTCCACCCAGCTCCCACCCCACCTGGGCCTTACCCATACTATTGTCCATGGGTTATGCATATATGCGTATATGTTCTTTGGTTAATCTCTTCCTGTCCCCTCCACCCCGTTCCCCGTATTTCTTAATGAAGTTTCCAGGTCCCAGCAAACAGAATGGAAGTAAAGTGTTTTTTTTGTTTGTTTGTTTTTGTCTCAACTAGTATTTGCAATTCAGGACCCTAATGCGCAGTGAGATGTGCCCCGTCGATCCTAGAAACCCTGTTGTTATGCAAACTAAAAGATGAGTTCGCAATTTGGCCAAGTCCCACGTGGTCTAGACCCCAAATCTCTCCTACCTTCTTCCACCATCACTCTGAAATTACTTCAGTAGTTGCACTCAACCTTTCCTAACTGGCTGGGAAACCTGGAATAGAGAGGCAAGTATCCTTCGGGTGCCCTATAGACGTTAAAGGCTGGCTTTCACTAGAATTAAGAGAATGACCCAAGACGGGAAAAGTAAGCCCGGTGTAGGAACCACTTAGCGCTGGTCCAGTCCCCACCCGGATTCATGTTTCCAGTTGTCAGGAAGTGCGAAACTGTCCAACCCCACTTGCCGGAAGTACCTTTTCAGAAGTACCGGGTTGTTCTTGCAGCTCTGCTTTCCATCTCTCCGCGCGCGACACTGGCAAGTGAGTAGCCTGGCTACTGCCAGAAGTGCAGGTTGGGAAGGGAGGCACTAAGGGTTGGCAGTAAACCAGAGTCGCGGGCATTGTCGAGCAGTTTACCGAGGATCCCCGCGTCTAGAAACCACCTCCTTTTCTCAGATGTAGGATCTGAGGTTTGCAGTTTGCAACTTTTTCTTCTGGCAGTGGCAATACTGAGTGTTTTCGCCTGAATTAAAGCGGATTAACCCTTGGGTCTGTCCTAATTCCCTAACCAGTTGGCGGGCCCCGGGTTTTAGGCTATTATTCGCTTTAACCCGAGTTGGAAAGCACATATTGCAGTGGACAGGGAGTTCTGAAGGTGGAGGGAGGGATGGTCCAGAAGGTCCTTACGCAGGTGATTTTGAGAAAAGGTAAGTGGGCCCTTCAGATGAGTATCTGGGAGTCAGGAGGTGTATGTGCTGGGTGTCATTTTAAGATCTACTCAGAGGCCCAGGATAACTTAACCCTACTTGCTTCCTATGTATAGAATGAAGGCATTGACCAATGTACAATTCTCAGATTTGTGATCAGGAAATTAGTTTATTGCCCTGGTTAGAGCATCCTCCCCATAGCCAAGGTTGTGGGTTCCATCCCTGGTAAGGGCACATTCAAGAATCAATCAGTGGCCCTGGCCGGTTTGGCTCAGTGGTTAGAGCGTTGGCCTGCTGTCCAGAGAGACCCGGGTTCGGTTCCCCTAAGGGCACGTACCTCGGTTGCAGTTTGTCCCCGGCCCTGGTTGGGTTGTGCTGGTGGCAGCCACTCGATGTATCCCTTTCACGTCAATGTTTCTCTCTCTCTCTCCCTCCCACTCTATCTGAACCAAAAAATGGGGAAAAAATGTCCTCGGGTGAGGATAAAAAAGAAAAAAAAAATCAATCAATGAATGGAACAACAAATTGTTGTTTCTCCTTCTCCCTTCCTCTCTCTCGCTCTAAAAATCAATAACTAAAAAAAAGAAATTAGTTCACTGAAATTGTCAATAGAGAGGCAGCTGTGAGTTTTAGATTTTTTTTCTGACACCTCATTTTCCTGGTTAAGAATGGGATTTGCATAAGACATCTGGATTCATATTTTCACTCAGTCACTTACTGGCTACTTATATTAGACAGGGTTCTTGACCATTTCCCCTTGTGTAAGGAAGAAATAATAGCATACACACACACACATACACACACATATATACACACACATACACACACTTTTCCCCTCACCAGAGGACATTTTTGCATTTATCTTTAGACAGAGTGGGAGGGGGGAGGGGGGAAGAGAGAGGAAGACATCAATGTAAGAGAGACACATCGACTGATTGCCACCCACATGACCCCAACCGGCCGGGGACAAACTGCAACTGAGGTACATGCCCTTAGGGGAACCGAACCCCAGACTCTCTGGTCCGTGGGCTGACGCTCTAAGCACTGAGGCAAACCAGCCAGGGCAATAGCTAATATTTTTTTGAGTGCTCTGTGTCAGGGACAGTTCTAAGCTCTTTACATGTATTAACTGATCTAATTTTTACAGTGACCCTGTGTAGTTATTATAATCCTTATTTTCAAAGGTTAGTGAACTGCATCATAGGTTAAATAACCTGTGCAAAGTCACATATCTAATAAGTGGTGGAGCCAGGATTCCAATCCAGATAGTTTGACTCCAAAGTCTGTGCTCCAGCTTAACAGGTTATACAGTCTCTCAGCACCAAGTTGATGAGGTTATTGTATTAAATTAGCTTTTTCATATACACACATACAGTGTCTGGTTCACAGATGAAATGTATTACTATTATTATTTTACTATTTTGAGCTGCAAACTCCTAAGTCCCAAAATAGATAACTAAGGGGGAAAAAAGAGAATAGAGATACTATGACCTTGAGTTTTAAATATAAGAAATTGGCACTTCAAGGAAGCAATTTATTCAAGGTCGTGCAGCTGGGAAATGATGGAGGTTATCAGTAAAATCCAGATCTCTGTGCATTACTCTTTTCAGAGACAGAAAGGATCTGTTAACATGTTACTGAGTTTTGAAAACATTAATGATTATTTTCAAAGGAAACTGTTATATGAGAGAAATTCTCAAATTACTTTTATTTTTTAATATGTTTTGTATTAACTTTTAGAGACAGAGGAAGGGGGAGAGAGAAACATCAATCGGCTGCCTCCTGCATGCTCCCTACTGGTGATCAAGCCCACAACCCTGGCATGTGCCCTGACCAGGAATCGATACAGGACCTCTCAGTCCATGGGATGATGCTCAATCCATTGAGCGACACAGGCCAGGCCTCAAGTTACTTTTATTTTATTTTAATCCTCACTCAAGGACATTTTTCAATTTTTTGTTCAGATAGAATGGGATGGAGAGAGAGAAAGAGAGAGAGAGAAACATCCATGTGAAAGGGACACATCGGGTGGCTGCCTCCTGCACGACCCAACCAGGGCCGGGGACAAACTGCAACGGAAGTATATGCCCCTAGCAGGAACCGAACCCGGGTCTCTCTGGACCGCAGGCTGACGCTCTCACTGCTGAGCAAAACTGGCCAGGGCTCAAGTTACTTTTTAAAAATTATGTATAAAATGAAGAAAATTAAGTGATCTTATTTTGTACACAGAAACATACTTCTGATTCAGCCTGTCCACTTAGCTGTAAAAGTACATTAACCAGAACTGCTTGGCATCTTCCTGAGCAAGACTCCATTAGGGCCCAGTATGCTTCACTTTATCCAGAAGTTTTCTCAAGCATCTCCAAAGGTTGGTTTATTCAGCAAATATTTGAGCACTATTTGCCAGGCATGGTTTGGCTGTGTAATAGCAGCAAAACAGAAGACAATATCCTATCCTGATAAATTTGGGGGAGGTGTGTGTGTATAAAATACAAATAAATAAAATATTTAATATGTCAAGTGGTAAGTGCTGTGGAGAACTATAAAGCAGGGCAAGGGAATATGGAATCATTCCTAGCATTTTGAGAAAACATCAAGATTCTTAAATCTTTCATTTTTCCTTTCATCTAACACTTCTTGAGTTACTGTTAATCTTTATACTAGTTGAAGTCTGGAATCTGCTCACTAAAGCACAGAATCAGCAGAGAAAGTTATTTAGACATATAATATGAAAGGTACAGGGATTTATTTTTAAGGCAAGGAAAAAAAGATGGTCCTGGCTCTGGAGTCTACTCAGACAAGTAAACACACAATTTTAATTCACTGTGAGAATTATAATGGAAGTGCACACAGGATACTTACTTATAGGAGCATTAAATCAGATTGAAGAAAGCTCTAAGCTGAATGTGGAATACAAATTCCCAAAGAGAAAAGTAGTAAGCCAGAATGCTAGGCAGAGACATAGAAAGGCATGGAGCTGTGAAAAGTATGCAGTGTCCATAGAGCTATATTAGAAGGTAGACTGTTTTTCTCTACATAAAATAGCATTCCCAGTGATTAGTGCAACTGCCTTGCAATTTATAACTAGAAGAGGCAGTTTAGAACAACAAATACCAAACATCCCGTCTTTACCTGTTCTTTGAGATATTTTTCTCATGGCATAAGATTAGCGGTAAGCCAAAACATAACTGGCTTCTATTCAGTGGTTTCTTTTGAAGGTTGTATAGCTGTTAATCTTAGGCAGCAATAACATCACTTAGCCAGCAATAACATCACTCTGTACTGTAGTCCAGCTTTTCTGTAAAGTTCAATCTGCTAACAGAAAGCAGATATTTTATATTGTTCTAGATTGGAATTAACTAAGGCATTTGGTGACTTTTTAAAAAATCTGTTTTTGTTTTCTGGTTTTATTTTCTCTATAGATGCTGAAGTACCCTTTCACAGTTGGACTAGGAGCCAGCAGAATAGAAACACTTTCTCTCAAGACATGTCTCCAGCAGAACTTTTCACCTTTGTTTCTAAGGCCTTGGTCTTTCTCATCACTTCCAGTGTGTATGAGCAAGATACAATACTATCATACTTCCCCATGCAGCTTTAAGAAGCAGAAGCAAGAAGTACTTCCAGTTAGGCCACCAAAAACTATTACATACCTGCCTGACAGCCCAAAGCCAGCATTATATGTATCTCTGGTGGGACTAATCCCCTTCTTTGCGCCACCACTGGTCATGGTGATGACAAAGACTTATATTCCCATATTAGCTTTTACTCAGATGGCTTATGGAGCCAGTTTCCTAGCTTTCTTGGGAGGGATCAGATGGGGTTTTGTTCTGCCAGAAGGTAGTCCAGCCAAACCAGATTTCCTCAATTTAGCGAGTAGTACAGCTCCTGTTGTGTTTGCATGGTCTGCCTTCCTTATTTCTGAAAGTCTCAGTGAAGCTATAGTCACAGTAATAATAGGTTTGGGAATAGCATTACATATTGAACTTTTTCTCTTGCCACATTATCCCAATTGGTTCAAAGCCCTGAGGATAGTAGTCACTTTAGTAGCCTTGTTGTCATTTGTACTCACTTTACTACTAAAAGACATTTATCCAGAGAAAGGACCTAAGAGACCTGGTCAAGTAGAATAAATACAAAACTATTCTGTAGATGACGTTAGCATGTTGGCTATAAGCCTTATAAGGTTGTTTTGCATTTCCTTTTTCTTCTACTCCTGTTTGGCTTTTTATTTCCTACCAAAGGTAATTTATTCACATTTTTTTCATTTCTAGAAATCTTTATTTCATAGGAATTATATGATCAACAACTTAAAAATCCCTAACAAGTCCTTTTTATGGCATATTACATTACAGTTCTCATTCATTCTTATGAATTATAAAGTTGTCCACTCATACATTTCAATTTTTTAAATTATTTTGAAAATGTAAAATGTTTTAAAAAGGTGAAAAATCCCTTTTGCTAGAGCCTATGATCACTGAAAATATATACACATTCTCCCATTCGAGAGGAAAACTTCAATCCATAAATGTCTGAAAGTAATAAGTGGTTCTAGGGTGGAGTTTTCATTGCAGTTTCCCCTGGGAATTGCATTTCCAAGCTCATTTTACCTGGTATAATCTAGTTATATGAGCTGTAAGGATCTGTGGCTCTAAAGTCATTTGGGAGTAGTGTCACGAGGGGAAGTCATGTGTAAAGAGAAGTTGGACTCATTTCCAGTTTTGTTTTGTTTTTTAGTCCTCACCCGAGGACAGTTTTTGATACTTTGTTCAGATAGAGTGGGAGGGAGAGAGAGAGAGAGAAACATCGACGTGAAAGGGACACATCGAGTGGTTGCCACCCGCACGACCCAGCCGGGGCCGGGGACAGACTGCAACTGAGGTGCGTGCCCTTGGCGGGAACCGAACTCGGGTCTCTCCGGACCGCAGGCCGACGCTCTAACCGCTGAGCCAAACTGGCCAGGGCTCATTTCCAGTTTTTATCAGGATATTTGGCAGAGATATAACTCACCAAACAGAACACCAGTGGGTCAAAATTATTTAAAAGAATAAAGCCACTAGTATATAAAATTAGGGAAAGTCAAACTGGAGCCATCTTGATATTCTAATGAACAAGGCTATCTAGTTTTACATGTTAACTCACAGAAAGCTTTCTCAAAACAGTAAAAGCATCACCTTAGGATTCTAACTTGAAAACCTTGTCTCTTGAGATTCTGTCTCAAAAAAAGAATATATGTAAGAATATAAGGAAATGATATTGCCTGGTATGTTACTTTGTATAAGTATTCAAATACCAAATTTCTTAAGTAAATTTCCTATGTATTTTCTCCACTCTAGTGATTCTTGCTGGGAAGAGGTAAGAGTCTAGATTGGTAACCTGTTTATTTTCTTTTTTTTTGTTTAATCCTCACCCGAGGACATTTTTCCATTTTTTATTCAGATGGGGGGGGGGGGGAGAGAAGCATCGACGTGAAAGGGACACACCGAGCAGCTGCCACCCACACAACCCAACCAGGGCCAGGGACAAACTGCAACCAAGGTGCATGCCCTTAGTGGGAACCAAACCCAGGTCTCTCTGGACCACAGGCCGACGCTCCAACCGCTAAGCCAAACCAGCCAGGGCTATTTTCTTACACACCTGTTACACTTTGAACTGTGTGTTGAAATCTAATCGCCCGTATTTAAGAGTATGACCTTATTTGGAGATAGGGTCTTTATACAGAGGAAATACGGTTAAAATGAGGTCATAAGGGTAGGCTTATAATGTAATATCACTTGAATTTTTTTTAAAACTTTATTTATTTATTTATTTATTTATTTTATTTTTTATCCTCACCTGAGAGGATATTTTTTGTTCAGATAGAGTGGGAGGGAGAGAGAGAGAAAAACATCCATGTTAAAGGGACACATCGAGTGGCTGCCACCCGCACGACCAACTGGGGCTGGGGACAAACTGCAACCGAAGCACACGCCCTTAGCGGGAACCGAACCCGGGTCTCTCTGGACCGCAGGCTGATGCTCTAACTGCTGAGCCAAACCGGCCAGGGCCACTTGAATTTTTTTTAAAACAATTTTTCTTTATTGACTTTTAGAGAGGAAGGGAGAGGGAGAGAGAGACATCGATGAGAGAGAACATTGATCGGCCACCTCCTGCATGCCCCCCTGCCAGCGACCTCTTGGTGCATGGTCAATGCTCAACCACTAAGTCATACCGGCTGGACTTATCACTTGAATTTTTATAACAAGGGAAAATTTAGAGACAAACGTGCATACAGAAAGAATAGCATGTGAACGGATGGCCTGTCTATATGTCAAGGAGAGAAGCCTAGAACAGATCCCTTCTTCTTAGCCCTCAGAAGGAACCATTTCTACCAACACCTTGAGTTCAGACTTCTAGTGTCTGAAACTGTGAAACAATAAATTATGTTGTTTACATTTCTATGGTACTTTGTTAAAGCACTCCTAAGCAAACAAATATAACACCATAGAGCTAGAACTTGTCCAGATGACTGAGAAGTTTACCAGTTAAAGCCTTTGGCTGAAACCAACACATGGTCCTTCTTTATTAAGGTAGATAACGGTTTACCACAACCTGATGATAATAAAGGAAAGAATATGCATACACTTCAGATCTTTCTCAGAAGGAAAAGCAGTCTTAGAAGGAAGACTAAAGTAATCAAAATACTTTATTAGTTCTTTTTAAAAACAACCCGTCATTAACTAGGAAACAATAAACATATTTATAATTACCTATTTTTCAGGGAACATTTGGACCTAGTAAGCCTAAACACTGATTGTCTTGACATTACATTTCTGCCACAGCAGTACATAATGCCTCCCTTCACAGTGCCATTTTAGGTTGCCAGGCAATGAGAAATTATAGGAGCATTTTGTAAATCTCTTTTGAATCAGAATGCAGATTCTCTGTAACTGGAAACATTAAAGGCTCATGAGCTTAAATAGTCTATAAATTATCTTGACACTTCATCCCTTGACATTTTACAGATCCCAAGTAGGTATATGTGACCCTTCAGACTTTCTGTCTGTACTACATAAGCTTTTCCTTTTTTTTTAATTTTGTTGATTTTAGAGAAGGGAGAGGAAGAGAGAAACATCAATGAGAAAAAACATCAACTGGCCGCCTCCTGCATGCCCCCCACTAGGTATTGGGCCCACAACCCAGGCATGTGCCCTGACTGGGAATTGTACCAACAACCTTTTGGTGCATGGAGTTGATGTTCAACCACTGAGCCACACGGACCAGGCTAAATATTTTTTAAACTGATTTTTAGAGATAGAGGAAGGAAGAGAGAGAAACACTGATGTGAGAGTGAAACATCTTTCATCTGCCTCCTGCACACTCCTTACCAGAAATGGAGTCTGCAACCCGGGCATATGCCCTAATGGGATCAAACCTACAACCTCTTTGTGTATAGGTTGACGCTCACCAACTAAGCCACACTGACCAGGGCCATAAGCTTTTCTTAAGACAAGCACATGGTTAAGTTATAAAGAAAAGTATCCTTGGCCAATCCAAATATTTTGGATATGAATGCCACCTGAGTCATTAATACTTACATAAAGTTTCTTATCTAAATAAGCTGTTGATGCTTATCACAATATACTAAAGGACTTTAGTAAAGAAAAGAGAGGATCAGGAATATATAATCAAATCCTGAATCAGCTGGTTAAAAACTTAAATGTATATAAGATCTTTAATATAAATTGCTCCAGCCTGGCCAGTGTAGCTCAGTGGATTGAGCATCGTCCCATGGACTGAGAGGTCCCAGTTCAATTCGTGGTCGGGGCACATGCCCAGGTTTTGGGGCTCAATCCCCAGTTGGGGGCATGCAGGAGGCAGCTGATGGATGATTGTCTCTCATATTGATGTTTTTCTCTCTCCCTTCCTCTCTCTCTCTAAAAAAAAATATATATATATATATCCAACTGACTAGTAGAAATAACAAAAATGATGACCATGTACACGAATCTTCTGAGAATCGGACAGAGAACAATTATTTAGAATTCTTCTCAAGGGAAAAATGGTTTGAAAAGTAGTTTTGGATCAGAAGCCTTTCATCTTATACTTATGAGAATAAGTACAGAATTTCCACAGGCATCTATACTTCCACCTTCTCGAAATCAGGCAGCTCATATTTAGGCTTGTTCAAGTAGAAGTAAGCTTTATCAAGTTTGATAATCTACTAAAATTCTATCTTCCCAAAGCCAAACAGATATTTCTGGTGACCATTTTTAAAAATAGGCAAGAAATTTACTAGGTGCATACCACCTACTGGACTCTATCACCCATTACACCATCCTATTGCAGTAAAGGACTGTCACTAAGAACTTCCACTTACCTACATTCTCAGCATCAAGACAAAAAAAACATAAGTGAGCCCTGGCCGGTTTGGCTCAGCAGTTAGAGCATCAGCCTGCGGTCCCGAGAGACCCAGGTTCGGTTCCCGCTAAGGGCATGTATCTTGGTTGCAGTTTGTCCCCGGCCCTGGTCGGTCGTGCGGGTGGCAGCCACTAGATGTGTCCCTTTCACATCGATGTTTCTCTCTCTCTCTCTCTCCCTCCCATTCTACCTGAACAAAAAAAAGTGAGCAAAAGCTTTTTATGATGTTATCAATAGGTCAAAACTTACCTCTCTATATAAATAACTAGATATTTCCCACATCTCTCCTCCAGTATATCTGCTGCCAATGAAAAGTTTGGGGCTAGTAAAACTCCTAGCATCAAATATAAGTAGAAAATTGCTTCATTGGCTTATCACTGTAGGTTAAACTATGGCCATGGAAAATTGTGTTCTGGATTGAATCATGAATGTACAGATATCTTTAAACTTTCATTGACACTCTTATATCACATTGGGTCATGTTACAGCTTGAATTGCACTGGAGAAGTTGCTAAAGGGGCTACTGGCCAAGACGTTTCTAGCAAGTCATGTTTACAAATAGGACTCAACTTCTACCTGAACAATTGTCTATAGTATTTCTATTAGTAAGCTTGGCAAATTTTTGTGAGTTCTTTATTAATTTAGAATATATTCCATATCCCTTCTCACTCAAATTCTTAGAAGAATAACCTTTAGTCATTTATCTATCAAATACATGGAAAACAAAAGTATTAAAGGGTCCTATGACCAAATATGTGTTTGATTTACAAAAGGTCAGATTCTATATTTTCAAAATGTATCTTATGCTCTCTTAAGGTTTATAGTTCATAGCACAGCAACACCTCCTTCACAGCGACTGGTGATCATGTTACCGATTTCTGTCCATGTATCTGAATGGGGGTTATAAACTTCAACTGAGTCCAAGGTACCTGATGCCAAGAAATCATGGCTGGAAGATCGACCTCCAGAAACATACAGAAGTCCATTGACTGCCACAACACACATGCCTGCTCTAGGCACTTTCATTGAAGCAACTTCAACCCACTTTTCCTGGTTAAGAGAAAAAAATAAGTTAGTCTCATAAAATGGTAATTGAGAAAACTGCTGAGAAATCAGATACTGGGGTTCTTTTTACATGTTTAAATTTCAAATTCAAAGTCCAGTCACATCAGTATAAAGAACATTTTATTTTTAGAAAATAATGTTTTCTTTATTGATTTTAGAGAGAGAGGAAGGGAGAGGGAGAGAGTGAAACATCGATGAGAGAGAACATTGATCGGTGGCCTCTTGCCTGCCCCCCAATGGGGACTTGGCCCACAACCTAGGCATATGCCCTGACCAGGAATCGAACTGGCAACCTTTTGGTGCATGGGTCCGATGCTCAACCTCTGAGCCACACAGGCTGAGCAGTATAAAGAACATTTAAAATAAACTTTCAAGTAGATGTAGACAAACAAAATTTATAGGAAAATAATTGAAAAATCTGTGATTAGCCCTGGCCGGTTTGGCTCAGCGGTTGGAGCGTCGGCCTGCGGTACAGAGACCCAGGTTCGGTTCCTGCTAAGGGCACGTACCTCGGTTGCAGTTTGTCCCCGGCCCTGGTTGGTCATGTGGGTGGCAACCACTCGATGTGTCCCTTCACGTCGATGTTTTTCTCTCTCTTCCTCTCTCTCCCTCCTGCTCTGTCTGAACAAAGAATGCAAAAATGTCCTTGGGTGAGGATAAAAAAAAAAAAAGAAAGAAAAATCTGTGATTATAAATTATCAGGAAATAATCTAGAAATTCTATATAGGCAGGCATTCTGAAAAAACTAGTTCTATGGAATACAAGTAGGTAATATGCACACACACCCTCCCCACAAACCCACAAGGCTCCAAGAAGAAAAGTGCTTATATACAGTATACAGAAGGACTTTTATTTATTTATTTATTTATTTATTTATTTATTTATTTATTTATTTAATTTATTTTTTATCCTCACCTGAGGACATTTTCCCATTTTTTTACTCAGATAGAGCGGGAAGGACAGAGAGGAAGAGAGAGAAACATCGAAGTGAAAGGGACACATCGAGAGGCCACCACCCACACGACCCAACCAGGTCCGGGGACAAACTGCAGCCAAGGTACATGCCCTTAGCGGGAACTGAACCCGGGTCTCTATGGACCGCAGGCTGACGCTCTAACCACTGAGCCAAACCGGCCAGGGCAGGACTTTTATTTGTTTATTTTATCCTCACCCAAGGACATTTTTCCATTTTTTGTTCAGATAGAGTGGGAGGGAGAGAGAGAGAGAGAAACACTGACGTGAAAGGGACACATCGAGTGGCCGCCACTTGCATGACCCAACCAGGGCTGGGGACAAACTTCAACTGAGGCACATGCCCCCAGCGAGAACCAAACCCGGGTCTCTCTGGACTGCAGGTCGACGCTCTAACCGCTAAGCAAAACTGGCCAGGGCCAGAAGGACTTTTAAAAGTCTCTGAGCCCTGGCCGGTTTGGCTCAGCGATTAGAGCATTGGCCCACGGACCACAGAGTCCCTGGTTTGGTTTTCGCTGGGGGCACATACTTCAGTTGCAGTTTGTCCCTGGCCCTGGTTGGGGTCCTGTGGGTGGCAACCACTCAGTGTGTCTCTCTCACATTGATGTTTCTCTCTCTTCCTCCCTCTTTCCCTCCTGCTCTATCTAAAGATAAAACCTCAGGTGAGGATAAAAAAATTTTTTTTAAGTCTCTGAAATGCTAATAAGTCTTAAAAATATCCAGGAGAATGATACAGCAAAAAACACTTGCCAAATTTATTTGACCATGTAATCCTTTTTGCAAAGACCATCTAGTGGAGTTAGTGACCACAAAACATATTTTCAGAAAGGCAGTATAGATCAGAGGTTAGAAACCTATTTGTGTAAGCCTACAAACTAAAAACTATTTTTCTATTTTAAAAACTTATTTATTTTTTTGTTTTTTTAGAAAATTCCTCACCCGAGGACATTTTTATATTTATCATTACATAGAGTGGAGGGACGGAGAGAGCGAGAGACAGAGAGAAACAATGTGATAGAGCCACATTCACTGGTTGCCTCCTGCACAGCCCTGGTTGGGCCAGGACGAACTGCAACCAAGGTACGTGCCCTTGACCAGAATCGAACCCACGACTCATTGGTCCTTGGGCCGAAGCTCTAACTGCTGAGGCAAACCGGCCATGGCTAAAAAGTTGTTTTAAAAAACAAAAATGAGCCCTGGCCGGTTTGGCTCAGCGGTTAGAGCGTCCGCCTGCGGTCCGTAAAGACCCGGGTTCGGTTCTCGCTAAGGGCACGTACCTCGGTTGCAGTTTGTCCCCGGCCCTGGTTGGTCGTGCGGGTGGCAGCCACTCGATGTGTCCCTTTCACATCGATGTTTCCCTCTCTCTCTCTTCCTCTCTCTCCCTCCTACTCTGTCTGTACAAAAAATGGAAAAATGTCCTCGGATGAGGATTAAAAAAAAAAAATTAAAAAACAAAAATGAAACTCAGCTGGTGTGGCTCAGTGGTTGAGCATAGACCTACGCACTAAGAGGTCACTGGTTCGATTCCTGGGCAGGGCACATGCTCATGTTGTGGGCCTGATCCTCAGTGGGGGCCATGCGGGAGGCAGCTAATCAATGTTCTTTCTCATTGATATTTCTATCTCTCTCTCCTTCTCCCTTCCTCTCTCTCTAAAATCAATAAAGAAAAAAATAATAAAAAAATGTTTTAAAAAAAATGAAAATGCCAAAAGAAGAGATTTTATGTAGCCCTTGAACAAAACATTTGCTAACTCCTGGAATACATTGTTCTCTGAAGAAATTTCAATAAGCTACTATAGCCAAAATGAATTGTAAAGCCCTACTTCAAGGAAAATGTCTATACCTAGAAAATAGGAAAGGTAATAAAGATCCTGGGAAATAGCACAGCTAGTGTGTCTTAGTGGTTGATTGTTGACCCATGCACCAAGAGGTCTCCTGGTCAGGGCACATGCCCAGGTTGTGGGCCCAATCCCCACTGCGGGGTGTGCAGGAGGCAACCAATCGCTGTCTCTTTCTCACATTAATGTTTCTCTCTCTCTTTCCCTCCCTCCCTCCCTTCCACAATAAGGAGCAATGGAAAAAATATCCTTGGGTAAGGATAAAAAAAAATACTGTAAAATCTATGTATGGTATCAGATGGGTACTAGACTTATTGTGGTAATCACAACATAAAGTTTATAAATGGCTAATCACTATCTGTACATACTAGAAAGTAATATAATCTTGTATGTCAACTATAATTGAAAAATAAATTTAAAAAAACCCAGATATTATAAACATGTTCAAGGTTCTAAAGAAAAACATAAACATGGTGGTGATAGAAGTGGAAGACAAAACAAACAAAAAGATCATCTAGAGTTATAAAATACAGTATCTGAAATGAAAAATATTCCCATAGGAGCTTAGACACTGAACATTAGAAGTTTAGATATGTATAAGTTTCATGAACTTAAAGACACAGCAAGAGCCTCGTTGTTGTGGCTCAGTGGTTGAGCGTCTACTCATGCACCAAAGGGTTGCCAGTTTGATTCCTGGTCAGGGCACATGCCCAGGTTGTGGGTCAAATCCCCAGTTGGGGGGCATGCTGGAGGCGACCAGTCGATGTTCTCTCTCATCGGTCTCTCTCTCCCTCTCCCTTCCTCTCTCTCTAAAGGTCAATAAAGAAAAGAAAATTAAAAAAAAAAAAAAGACACAGCAAGAGAAACTATCCAAACTGAAGCACAGAGAACAGTCAGTTATGTAAGATGAATAAGTTCTAGAGATATAATATTCAGCACGCTGACTACAGTTAATATTATATGCTATACTCAAAATTTGTTAAGAAAGCACATCTCGCCCTGGCCGGTTTGGCTCAGCGGTTAGAGCATCGGCCTGCGGTCCGTAGAGACCCGGGTTCGGTTCCCGCTAAGGGCATGTACCTCGGTTGCAGTTTGTCCCCGGCCCTGGTTGGTCGTGCGGGTGGCAGCCACTCGATGTGTCCCTTTCACGTTGATGTTTCTCTCTCTCTCTCTCTTCCTCTCTCTCCTTCCCACTCTATCTGTGCAAGAAATGGAAAAATGTCCTCGGGTGAGGATTAAAAAAAAAAAAAAAAAAAAAAGAAAGCACATCTGAAGTGCTTTCACCATACCAAAAAAGGAACAGGGAACCATGTGAGGTGATTAATATGTTAATTAGCTTGATTGTGGTAATCATGTCACAGTGTATATGTATATCAAAACATCACAGTGTACACCTTAAATATACACAACTTTTATTCATCAGTTATATCTCAATAAAGCTGGAAAATAAAAACAAACTAAAGAATAGAGAGAAAAAAAGATAGAAAAAGTTTTAATAGAGCCTCAGTGATCTATGGGACAATATCAAGTGATCTTACATGCCTAATACTGGAGTCCCAGTAAGAGAGCAAGAGAATATTTGAAGAAATGTGGCTGAAAACATTCCAATTTGATGGAGGCTATAATCCCACAGATTCAAGACTTTTGATGAATTCCAAGCAGGCTAAATACAAAACTCTCAACGAGACACACACAATCAAATTACGGGAAATCCATGATAAAGAGCAAATCGTAAAAGCTGCTAAAGAGTCCAGCTGGTGTGGCTCAGAGGTTGAGTGTCGACCCATGCACCAAGAGGTCGCTGGTTCTATTCCCAGTCAGAACACATGCCCAGGTTGTGGGCCCGATCCCCAGTGGGGGGCATGCAGGAGGTGGCCAATGTTCTCTCTAATAGATGTTTCTATCTCTCTCTACCTCTCCCTTCCTCTCTCTCTAAAAATCAATAAAGTAAAAAAACCAAAAAGCTGCTAAAGAAAAAGAAACACATTACATACAGGGGGAACAGGATACGAATGACTATTGACTTCCCATTAGAAACAACACAAGAAGATAAACAACACTGTTAAGGTAATCGGAAAAAAAAACCCCAACAACCTGTACTTCTATACTCAGCAAAATATCTTCAAAAGTGAAGGGAGGGAGGGTAGGGGAGGGGGGAAACCATTGCGGGGGGAG